CTGTAGGCAGTACTCCAGATTGCTACCATCGAGTCTTCCTCCTACCCTCCTGCCCTACCGCGTGCTCTAACGCTAGGCTCACTGCCAATACTGTTGGCATCACTTTGTTTTACTTTGTTTTCCTGCTCTGGGCACTTCTGTGGACTCGTGCTTGCCACCCTCATAAATCTATCAGCTTCCATTTCCCCAAAAGTTTCTAGGCCAGAGCTCTCCCTGCACGGCTCTGTTCTTCTCTCTACAAGGCTCTGTTTATCTGACTCCTGCTCTCAAGGGAATTTCCACAGGGGAAAAAGTACAGCCCAGGAAGCCAATGCCCCGAAGTCTGGGTAGCTGTATCACACCACTCAAGAATCCTGAATCAGCCAAGGAGGCGAGGGAGGAAATGAAACATCTGCTCTCAAGCTCTCAAAAAATGCCCAAATCCAGAGCCACAGAATGTGAAGGCACAAAGGTCTTCCAAGACCATTTCCACTTACATCTTCCTATTTAGTCGGAGCAATAATACAGCACGGAGACTACTTGCCTTGCCTGCCCCTAATCTGGGTTTGATTGCTGGCATCCCTTATAGGCCCCTGGGGCCTGCCAGGAGCAATCCCTGAGTGCAGAGCCAGGAGTAAGCCCTGAGCACTGCTGGGTGTAAAGGTGTGAGTCCCCACTCTCCAGCACCCACCAAACAAACACTGGAATATTTCTGTTCAAGAAATCAAAAATGTTGAGGCCCAGAGCATAGGGTTACTTCGGCATGTGGCTCAAGCTCTTAAGAGCTGATAACTATTCTAGAGCTCTAGACAGAACCCAGGTTCTTTAACTCCCAACTCAACATTTCTCTTAATGCATACTGCAAGAATCCAGGTGCCTCAGTCTTCTGTTGTGCAAAGGAGTTTTAAAAAGCAAAAGAAAAATGAGAATCGGGAAAGGCTGTTGGCCCAGGCACTCAAATTAATTCTGATTTTGACGCTCGAGGAGTTTCCATGAACTTTCACAGGGGTAATGGCTCTGCGTTTTCCCTCTGGAAAACCTAACTTCAGAACCAACAGATAAGAAGAAGCAGGTTTCCTCAGAGGGACAGGCTGTTGAGCTCTGCCCTCCCAGGGCACATGGGAAGAGTTACCTCAGGCCGAGAACACGGTCAGGCATTGAGGAAGCACTGCACAGGCTAAGATGGTGCTTAGAACTCAGCACATCATATGTCAGGGGATGTATGATATCCTTCCAGTTATACCCAGCGGCTGTTCAGAGGCATGTTCTGGCAAGAGTGGAAATACAACTGGCACAGAGCACAGGGGTTCTCCTCTCTACTGAGGACCTTGGCCTGGTCCTTGTCTCCTCTGTCTTCCCTCTCATTAATGCTCTTCAAGGTTGCACCTTGAGTGGCACCTCCATGCTGATGACTCAGACAACTTCCCGTGGTTGTTCTGTTCATGTTTCCACTGCCAAAGCAAATGGACATGTCCCAACAGATCTCCCGTCTCGTTCATGCACACATGCTTGACTCCATTTCTTCCTTGGCAGATCCTGACTCCAATCCTGTCCCCCGCTTAGGCCCCAGACCTCCCAGCCATCCTGTAGCCTCCCTCTCTCACACCCACATTCTGTAATGTCAACATATTATTGGGAGTTCTATTTTCAAAACAATTTGCAGAACTGGCCATTTCTCTCCATTTCTGTTGCTACGGAGCTGTTTGCAAGCTACCAGCACTTCCAGCCTGAAGTACTGCATTCACCTTCTAAATGCAGTTCTGCTTCCACACCAGACTCATAGAGCTGGCAAAGTATTTGAGACGTGAAAGCCAGACCCTGTAATAGCTTCCTCAAGTCAATCGTCTCAGTATAAAATGCAGAATCTGATCTGGCTCCTCACTCTAACACTTTCCCTCTACCTCTCCCCAGACACACTGGTTTTTCTGCCCCACTGTCCCAAGGATCCTCCAAAGCTCCTCACCTAGATTTCTGCATGGATGACTTCACTTCATGTACGGGCTTTGATCCAAATGTCCCCTTCTTCCTAGAGAACATCTTAGTATAAACTGTACCCGCCTTCTCTGGTCTCCAATACCTGTGATCCCCCTTACCTGTCACTTTCCCCCAAAGCACCTACCATCTTTGTGGGAGATCCATGGCTACAGGGGAGGGTCACCATGGCCTTGTAAAGGCCAGGAGGAAGCATTTGGCAAGGGAAAGGAGGGTGGACTCCTGTAGTTCCCAAAGAGTTCACGAGAATGAGCTGTACGTGAGAAGTCATCCCTCCAAGATCAGGTGTAGATTTTTTTCCCAGTGGAATAGAGGTTTGGAAATGAATGTCTTGTGATAATGTAGCACTGTAGCACTGTCCTCCCGTTGTTCATTGATTTGCTCAAGCAGGCACCAGTAATGTCCCCATTGTGAGACTTGTTGTTACTGTTTTTGGCATATCGAACACACCACGGGGAGCTTGCCAGGCTCTGCAATGTGGGCGGTATACTCTCGGTAGTTTGCTGGACTCTCCGAGAGGGGCAGAGGAATCTGCCGCATGCAAGGCAAACGCCCTACCCGCTGTGCTATCACTCCAGCCCCGTGATAATGTAAGATTTTAAAATTCTGGAAATGCCTAGGACAGCACCCAGAGAATGTCTAGGAGCTGTAAATGCCCTGGTACTATGGAGTGTCTGGGCCCATGAGAAGCCCAACCGTATGAGTAGAGAGACCTACCTCTGAGACTGAGCATGTCACTCACCTAACTTGTCAAACAATCCTCCTGGCCTGTGTGGTTACACCCAAACTGTCCATGTGGAAAGAGTTGTTGAGGTTTGTGGTCAGCAAACTGGGATTTCCTCGTGGGTGTGCCACTGATCCTCAAGACCCTTATCGTGATTGGGAAGAAAGGGTTCTGAATCTGAATGTAATAACTGAGACAGTCTTAGTAAGAAAATAGGCCTGGATGCCCTCTTTACCCCAATATTGCCCCCTTTTCTTTAGAAATTTTATAGCCTAGAAAAAAGTTAGTTGTGCTTTGTTTCTCTTTTGGAAAAGCAGTCATTGAGAGGTAATGCCGGGCTGGGTGACGATGTAGACTTCCCCACAGTGAGCGGCCCACAGAGTCTCCTGGGACCAGGCACAGTCTGGGTCATTCACCCACAAGGTCCCATACCTGGGCTGCAAATCCTACTACTGTGCTCTGCTCTTTATAAAACCAGCCCTCTCTCATACCTGGGAGACTGCTTAATGGGGTGGAATGCATACTCCACATGGACCTGAGCACTACTGGGAGCAACTCCTAGGGAGCACAGTAGCCCCTGAGCACCCCAACCCAATCAGATTAAATCCATCAATACATACTTACACAGACCAACCCTCTCTCACCTGGAGGCCTTGGACGCGCAACAAACAGCTTAGGACCCATTCTGGCTGCCAAGCTGGCAGTGTGCTCAGGAAGGAGGGTGGGAGTGAGTCTGAGGAGAGTTGGTGGGGCCTGGGACACAGAGTATGAGTCGGAAGACGGACTCTTTTATGATCTGATGATTTTCTGGTCAACTTAAGTGAAAAGTGTGCACACATTGACACACATACACACACACACACACACACATACACATACACTCGCACTCACAAGACAATCTGGGGACCCCGGAGATGGGAGGACATCAACTCTGAAGCTCGAGAGTGAAGGTGAAGGTCATGGGGTTGGCAAGAGAGCCTGACTAGCACCTTCTAATGCCCATCATCTGGGTCACACAGGGCTTCTGGCCAGGGGTCAGGCAGATTCCCAAGAAACATGTCAGTTCTACAGACGGGAAAGGACATGGGGAGTGGGGAGGGGGAGAGGGAGGGCAGTGCAGGAGGAGATGGCGCCCGGTCGGGTGGTTTCAAACATCCGAGATTTCTACAGCATCTGCTCTGTGCTGGTATTGGATGTCTGAGTGCCTCAAAGGTCTGTACAAACATCACCAAGTCTTTTAATGAAGGAAAAGTCATGACCAAAAAATTAAGCAACACTTGTTAAAGACTAACTGTGAGAGGGCTTGCCTCTAGATAAAGTGAGAAGATTAAAACATGCCAAGTAACAAAACTACGTGTGCAGGAATTGGTAGGAGCCGTATAGGAGGAGGCAGCTCTCGTCATCACAGGCAGAGGAAGCCTCGGAGCGCCGGGGCTGGGCCAGCATGAGGCCAAGGGGCCCGGGGCAGGGCGGGCAGGGAGAGGGGACAGAGAGAGGGGGAGAGAGAGAACCAGGTAGGGCACCAGAGACCGTTCTCTGGGCAGGCTCATGCAGGAGGAAGGTGCTGACACCGAGGAGCCCCTTTCCACAGCATTCGTGAACAGAGTCCTTGGAAGGTCTCTCAGAGGGCTTGCCTAAGCCCCCCAGCCTCGAGTGGGGGGACTTCTGGGCCATTGCAGAGAAGAGGGGTCCAAGCAGGAGGCTGGACAAGGCCAGCTCTTCTCACCCTCTTCCCTGCTAGGAAGCCGAGGGGAGGCCCGCTCCTGGTGGCCACAGGACAGGCAGCCCCACCTCTCCATGCGGGCTTTGAGAGCTCCTTTCCAAGATGCTGTAGGGGTGTGAAGGCAAGACAGGAAGTTCAGGTCCGCAGGGGGAAGGAGTGAGGAGAGGTTCCAGTCCCTACCCCAGAAGCTGCCCGGAAGCTGTACATGAGCCCTCTTTTTTTTTTTTCTTTCTTTTTCTTGCTTCCCAAACCCCATAGCTGCTTCCTCCTATACGGTGTGAGCCATGCCGGGTTGTACAGGGAGAGGGGAAGATGCAGCAGTCAAAAGTTAAAGGACAAGGGGAGGCCTAACTCGTTCCAAAGTTAAAAAAAAAACAATAAAAAGAAAGGGAAAAATTCAAAACAAAGCAATATGAAAAAATTTAAAAAATCCCTTAAACCAGTTGAAATGAACCAATGAAAAGGAAAACCATAACGAGAGTAAGGAGGTGGGAGGAGAAAATAAAAGGAAGGACAAATAAAGCGAGAGACAAATGAGCGTGGAGCAGGCAGGCTGGTTAGGTGCAGACGCCATGTACTTACGTTTACCTCGGTGATTGCTATATCAACAATGCTACCCACAACAATCAAGGCGTCAAATGTATTCCATGCATCACAGAAATAGTGCTGCATGGGGCAGAGAAGCCGAGGAAAAGAGAGAGAAAGAAGAGAAAAAAAAACCAACAACAAAGGAGAGAAACAAAACAAAAAGGAAGAAGGAAATGAACCAAAAAAAGCATGAAAGAAAGGAGAGAAGAGAAAAAAAATGAGAAAAGAAAGAGGTTACGTGGGCATAGTAAACACTCTTACCACTCTATAGCACTGGCAGCTCAAACCTGGGGAACCTGGTTTTCGCAGGGTGGAGAGGCCTGACAAAAGCTGGGTTAGTTCAGAGGTTAGCGGGGCTGTGGCCCCCGGAGGGAGGGCCTGGCGGCGGCGGTGCCCCTACCGCCTGCTCCCTCCGAGCTCCGGGCCCAGCCCAGCTGGCAGAGCTGGGACTAATGGAAAAAAAGGAGGAGAAGCTCCCACTTTTTTTCCCCCATTGGACGACGGCAGGTTCAATAAAAAGCATGACTGGAGGGGTGTAAAAACAGGAAATTAAAAATAAACAAATAAAAGGAAGTAAATAGAGAGAGAGAGAAAGAGAGAGAGAGAGATTGTTGGGGGGCGGGCACAGAAGAAGGCGAGGAGGAAGGAAGGAGGTTTCCTGGGAAGGGCAGGCATACTCACATTCGTTTCACTGAGAATGACGTCAATTATGCTGCCAATTACGATGAGGAAGTCAAAAACATTCCAGGGATCACTAAAGTAACCCTACATGAGGGAGGGGCAGGCAGGATGGGGATTAAAAAGGAATATTAGACAGACAAGAACAGAGCAACATCACCATCAGAAACAGTGTCCAGACATCTCAGTGTTGCTGCTGGAGTTCCAAACGCCCTCTCTGTAGTCAGGAGCCCAGGAAGGATGGTGGCAAGTTCAACCATCTGAGCCTGCCTTCCCTTGGTCATGTGGCTCCCATCCTTCCCCCAGATCCATCCACTGTCCTGCACAAGGCTCTTGCCACTTCCCACCAGGGGCAGGCATGAGTGCAAGGGGCAGGCAGGGTAAGTTACAATGTGTAGGGATGTGGTTGTCCACCTCCAGCATCTCCTAGGACCCCTATTCTCCTCCATCAGTAGGGTCTGTTTGGAGGGAGGGATGGAGGAAGAGAGGAAGAGAGCACAGATGTGTAATGGGGTTATGGTCCCTTGGGTGTCAGGGAATGATAAAGCTGCATTATGTTCTGAAAGTGTGGCCAGGTCATCTGGGCTCCTTGGTGACTCGTGTAAATCTCAATAATAACAAAGGAGCAATTCATGAAGACTATTCCTCAAGAGGGGGCTAGGCACTATGGAGTCAGAATAAGGGTCACCCTCGTTCCTTGATCATTGGAGATGGCCAACTGTTTTCTGGGGCATCTCTGCCCTGGCAAAGGGTTTAGTAACTGCAGGGATACAGAGCTGAGGTCAACAGATTGACCAATGGACATAATACAATGTCAGTGCTGCTTTCAAGGGTGTCTCCTGCCCTTGGGGTCCCTTCTCCTTTCAAGGGTGTCTCCTGCCCTTGGGGTCCCTTCTCAACACCCTCATTATGACCTCAGGTCTGGTTGAGAAGCAAATGCCACCCAAAGTGAATGAAGTTCACTTATCATAGAATTTCCAGAGAACTGAATTGATGTTCTTCCATTTGGAAGAGAAGTGGGTAGCCATGCCATTGAAAAGATTTTGGCACAGACAGGGAAGATGACCATTCTGACTTTGTTCTTTTTGCCTTGTACTCGGGGAATTTATTTTTCTACATGCCTTATGTGGAGAAGAGATAAATATTTTTAAAAGACTTTCTTGAACACTTGGACAACTGGTTGACCAAGGGATGTTCAGAAGTTTTGGCTAGGGGTGGCATGTGGACTCTTTGCAAAGAGGGATTCTTTGGTCTGGATCTTTTGCCTGAGAGATGCGGGATCTAGCTCTGATCTATGGCTACATGGGATACTTACTCCCAGTTCAGGAAAGTCCAGGAACACAGTAGCATTCCCACGGGGGGAGGGGTACTGGAAATGACCTAGCACTAAAAGATATCTGTGTTCTTTAAAAATGACATTGTACTCTTAAGTTTTTAAAGGAATGTTCTACAGTGGGGACAAGACAGAGAAGAACCAGTTATTCCCTCTTCTCTGGGCCACTAGGGTGCTTCTTGAGGTAGGTTCTGAAGTTGGTGGTAGATAGGCAAGCATTAAGGTCTTTTGAAAATTTCCTGGGTCTTGAAGACAGCCAACTGCTCGTCTCTTTGACTCACAAGAATCCCAAGTCTGTCTTTTCACTTCCTCCTTGCTCTCTCCTGCCCTTTAACTTCCCCACTTCCTAGCCATGCCCTCGTTCCAGAGCAGCCCAGGACAAGCTGTCCTCGGGCTGTTATTCTTAGTGTGGGAGGTCAGGTCGCAGGCAAAGGGGCCTCTCAGTTCCCAGACATTTCTGCCAAAAGAAAACAGGAACCTCACCATGGAGTCATTGGAATGCCAGACTGGGAAGCAGAAGTTGGCCAGGGCCTGGGTTAGGTGAGGGTCAGCTGGAAATCATGGCTTTCTAACTGGGTTCCCAGAGTATCTGTCTAACAGTGTCAGAGCCTTGGAGGCTGGGATTTCTCTGTCACTGAAGTCACATGCCACGAACTGGACACCTCCACGTCCCTCCTAGTCTCTCAGGTATCGGTCATGGGACAACTGGGGAATAACAACTATGAGGACCAGAGGCAGACAGCAAAAACCTCAACTAAACTATAAATAGGCCTGTGTTTTTAAATTGGATTTTGGAAAATATGAGGGGGAGAAATCACTGGAGAGGAATATCATCTTTGTGACTAGAGCTATTTCGGAAGGGGTGAGGGTGGGAAGCTGGAGGAAGAGAAAAGAGAGAAACCGTGACCAGAACAGGCGAGTCTAGGTGCGTTCTGCATCTCACCTAGAAAATGTGGGAACAAAACATTATTTGGGCATGGGGACAGGAGGAAGACAGACTGGTGGGAGGCTCAGTGCTCAGGAGAGATGTGTTGGAATCTCTCATCCATCAGAGAGGCCTGAAACAAAACGTGTGAGTTGGCCTTGGACTGCAACACCTCGGAGAGAAAAGAGAAGGGAGATGAGAGAGCTGAAGATCAACACACGGAGGTTAGTCAGTCAGCTGGTGGGCACCAGTGACAGGCCCATACCTCAAGGGACCCTGTCAGCCTCCTGGGAGGGGGCACCACTTGCCTCCTGGCCCTTGGATGGGCTTGGGTGTGTGCTGAGGGAGGGCGAACACAGCCTGCCTCTTCCTCCTGACAAAGCCCTCTCCCAGAGAACCACGGCCGCCTCTACTGGCTGGCTGGGCTTTCCTGAGAGAAGGGCTCCATGTTCTGTGTCCCCTGCCCTCCCTACCAGGCGACTCTGGAAGTTTCTGAGTCACCTCTCTGCCTTGCAGCCAGGGAGCTGGTGGGCCCACTGCAGGCTGTTGAGACCAACAGTCTGCTTGTTGCCCAGGGCTCCTGTGGGCTTGCTCTGAGGAGCTCCTGACAGAGCTGGAGTGCAGGGGTGAGGAAGCACACCTGTGTGGTGAGGGTGTGACAGGATCCCTTGTAGAGGCAATTTTCACCCTGACCATCCATCCACCTCCCACCTCCGACTCAGGATCCCGTCAATCCTCCAAGTCTGGGCCCATTTTCTGGGTCCAGAAAATAGTTTCAGATCCAGTTTCAGGTCTCTGTTCCTCAGCAAACTCTCCTTCCCATTTTTCCACTATCTCCTTGTTCCCCTGTTCCACACCCATTTCTGGCAATCAGGCTGAAATTAGCTCCCTGGGCTGTCCACAAAAGACCCTTGACAAGTCTTCTGGACTGTCAAAACTCTGTTCTTTCTATCTCTCTTTCCCTCTCTCCATTCCCCCATTTCCCTCCCTTCCCTCTTCTTTCTTCTCTCTCTGTTTGTCTCACTTATATGTTTTTGCCCTAATCTGCTGGAAGTCATTGGTCATATAGATTTTGGGAATGCAATGGAGAAAGGTGGAATGTGGGGGGAGACATCAAACTCTTTCCCCTCCAAAGTCAGTGTGACAGGGACCCTGGCAGTGCCTGCCACTCCTTATTCTGGTGACTGAGTCCCAAGTGGGAGAGCAGAAGTCAGAAGCTGTGTTGGGGAGGGGTGTTGGGGAACCCCTCCCACCCTGGAAGTGATGAGGCAATTTCTCAGTGAACAGCTCTCAGCTTCTGGCAGGGCGGAGAGTTACAAGGAAGAGCAAGGCTGTCAAACAGAGGCCCTTCCCTTGCCAGGCCTAAACCTACTGATCTCAAATGCACGTCCTTGTTCAAATTCCTAGCCCCTAACGATAAGTTTGGGAGATGGCTTCCTCCCTCTAGCAGTCTTCCGAGGCTGTCTTGAGTTCAGAGCCACCCGAGACCCTCAGTTTCATCTAACCTCCCAATTGCTGCTGACCCTCTACGCATTGGCTGGTGGGAGCTGAGGAAACAGGCCAAATCCACAATGGTTTCAGCAAGACGTGCTTGGGAGAGAAAGACTTCTGCAGAAGCATCCTCTGGTACACTTTGCGCAAAGGCAAATTCTGGATGTCCCTGTCCTTTGAATTCTCTGTGCCCTGCATCATCTTCATCATTGTTGAAACAAGAAGTGTTTGGGGGTGGGGTGTTGAGGTGGTAAGAGCATGATCCCTGGATGGGCGCCTGTGGGCACAGGTACCACCTCCAGCACTCACTAGCTGGGTCATGCTGACCAAATAAGCCGGTCTTTCCATGCCTCAGTTTCCCCACATGGAGCATGGGGCCTGATGGTGTGGATAAAAGGAGTTCATGGATGTGGAGTACTCAGACCCAGGCTGGTCCTGAAGGAAGATAAACAAATGGGGTTTTGTTGGAGAGAGGAGCCACGGGCTCAGATTCAGGGTGATCTGGAGCAACAAGGAAGGGAGACCCCAGGTCTGAGAAAAGATGGGGAGGAAGAAGAGTCAAGTTCTGAGCTCACGTTTTGTCTGTCTCCCTGCCTTTTACCCCTCCTTGAGTCACCAGTCAAGAGTGTGGCTCTCTGGTGACTCTGCAAGGAGAGTCGGCTGGCACTATTTCGAAATGGATGACACATTCGGGTGGTCACAGCTCAGTCTCGCTAGACTTGGGCTCAGGCAGGTGGGCACCTGTCAGGGGCTGGAACACGGCCGAGGAAGGCTGTGGCTCGGTGCTGGGGAGGGACACTGGGCTGCTGTGCTCTGGCAGCACAAGCCTGAGCACAGGGACAGGCCTTGCCCTCTGGCTCGCAAGTGCCTCTGCCGAGAACCGAGGGCCGCTCACTGACCTCCGGGGGGAAACACCAACTTGAGCGCAGGTTGGCGTAGCCTTTCTGTGAGGAAGTCTGCAGGCCTGGGATGGTTCTGTTTCTCCTTAGGAGTTTGGAGGCGAGTAGTCCTTCATTTCCCCCTTCATTCCCATTTCGCTGCCCCTCCCCACCCATCTTCCTCCTCCTGCAGAGGAGAGAGAAGATCCACACCTCTCTGCCTGAGTGCTGATAGGGAAGCGGAATGGATTTCGCGCCTGTCCAGAGCACTTGACCCCAAACCCATGCTCTTCCAAGCACAGCTGGAGGACCGCAGAGCAACAAAGTGGGAGAGCTCATCTGAGACTAGAAATGTGGCTGTTGGGATCGGGGAGCTTAGGGAGATAGGACTGGTGAGATACTGACGAGGATGCTTGCCTTGCAAGGGGCCAACCCAGGTTTGATCCCAAGTACCACATAT